GATATTTTTCTACCCCGATATCGTATGAATAAATGGTTTAGACCATTGGAAACTAGGTTCAAATACCTTCATTTTGGTATGATATATGTCCCAAAATGACATCATAAAGCTTACGAATTTAATTTCTCAAAACGACTCGTTACAAGGCAAATCTTAGCTCGATTTTTTCGCAACTTAAATTCGATTTTCCCAAACTTTATATTTTATATCCAAACATCATATATAGTTATATCATGACTTTAAACTCATTTAAATCATGAATAACAAGTCTTTTATTCATCTTAACTTACTTAAGACTTCGGTAAACCTTTTTTTATCCTTGTAGAAGGATTTCGTCCTTTTTGAGCTTACATTAGATAATCATAGGATGACAATGATGTCTGAAGTACGGGGTGTAACAACATTAAATCACTTCATATACTTTCAAAGAGTATCTCATTTCCGAGCTTACATCAATTGACTTATGACGTACTTTCACGTACAAAAACATGGGGTGTAACACTCACCATCACAACCACCCTTAGGGTACGCATCCTCGTACCAGGCGTCCTCTTCAATCTGATCCATATCTGTGTCCCTTTCATTGTCACCGGCCTCCGGCGTAGCATGATCATATCCGCAAGCAATTTGAGCTTCATGGGCCTTAACACGAGCATCTTCAAGGGCGTCTCCAGGAACAAACACCGCCGCATGCAAATCTCGAAATACGTCCAACTAAAATCTGAAGTGTAAGAAGATGACGGTTGTGCAAGCTTTCTAGCCTTCTCGGCCTATAAGGCATCCACCTGATCCTGAAGGAGGGAGTTGTCTTTCTCTAACTCCCCAATCCTCTCATCAAGGCGCTCTTCTTTAAGACTGGCCGTCTCCAAGTCATTTTCTCTCTCAGAGAGAAGAATACGGATCACTACCTCCAAAGCTTCCGCCTTCCTCAAAGTTTTCGACCAAGCAAACTCAACTTTCTCAAGGTCCTCTGCCTTCTCGGTGACCTCACCTCTTAGAGCATCCGCTTTGAATTGCCACTCCTCAAGTTGGGCGCGCATAGAAACCACCTGGGCTTGGAGATCGCTGCACTAGGCTTCAACCCCCCTGCTAACCTCGAGCTCTTCCTCTATATTTCTTTGCGTCACCTCGAGGTCGCTGCACTTTTCGATGACCCTCACCAGCTCGTCATCCTTCTCATTTAGTTCATCTCGAAGAGCCTGGAAATTACCGCCCTCACCAAACCGCCTACAAATTTCCCGGTGCTTGCCACGGTACTCGCGGTATTTTTGCTGCAACTTCATAAAAATAGCCTTACGCCGCTCCTCTATTCGAGCGCTTTCAATTTCCAAGATCACGGTCTGAAAAAGAAAGAAAAAGAAAATAGACAAGAGTAATAACAAAGCCTAAACATTGAGAAAATAACGAACAGAAGCGTCGCAAAACTTACCCTGAGAGCGAGCTGGCTATGGTCCTCGACAAGGTAGTATCTTTCAGCTCTTGGAGAGTTTGACTCTCCACGTCATAATAAAGAGGACCGAGGTCAGGAACCATGTTCTTTGTATCTTTTAATAAATCCCAATCCATGGGGATCGCAATTGTCTGCGTAGCCCCCTCCAGTCTCACCTCCAGTTGGGTAAATCCCTCCTTCATCATCCTCATCTTGTCAGCATCGAGATCATAACCTGTCTCATAGCTATCCTCGGCAACGCCTTTGACTCTCCCCTCGGTCAACAAAGAAGCATCATTAGTCGGCTACGAAGTCGACGGTCCCTCATGCCGTAAATTATCAGAAGCCACAATAGTCGGCCTTTCAGTTCCTACCACTGCAAAAGGAAGAGGTATGCCCTTAACGGCCTCCACCGATATCGGAACATCAGATGCCAGTTTGACATCATCCTCAAGTATTATGGTCGCTGTCTCACGGATGACAAAATTATCCCTCACTGAATCTACAGCCCGGGCGACCCTATCACCTAGGTCCACCGATCTTCTCTTATGGGGAACCAAATTCCCGTCGCTTGGCGACTCGTCCTCGTCCACTAGACGATGTAAGGGGAAGCCGGAAGCTTCGATGTTGAAATATCCGCAGGCGGAGAAGAAACTAATGCTGAGCATCAGTAGATGGGGCTGCCGACCGAGCAGACTTGGCCGCGGTCACAGCGGGAATAAACGCCGAAGATAAGGCACCCTTCCTCTTACGAACCACAAGAGAAAGAGCCATCGACCTATTCAAAGTTCCTCGGGCTGAAAAAGAAAAAATCAAAGCAAGATTATCATCACCACCAAGAGCAAACTACAATAAGTAGGCAACCATGAGGCCAAAACAACAAAAACATATATAGATAACATCACTGGCAAAGGAAGGAGCATGCCCGAACTTCTTGAAAAATCCCGGCCACTCACGAATTCCCATGATGTGAGGCAGAATCTGGCCAACCCAGTCATAAATGTCCCCGACCAAAAGAGGGGGCGTAGTCTTGGCTGCACAAAAAAAGGATGAAATTTCAGAATCTACGACTAAAACAGACAGATCAAATATTTTAACAAAAGAAGAATAGACACTTACGAGTGTAGTTCCAAGTCTCAGGGAAGCCGTCCGCGTTGGCCACCACGTCTTCGGTTCAGACAAAGAAGAAGTTGTGCCAGTACTGACGATTTGCCTTGTCGTCCATCTTCTCCACCAGGCGTTTGACTCCCCGATGGCAAAGGTTCAACATTGTCCCCCCTATAGAAACTAGGGGCGAAGAGATTCATCAGATGCCGGAGTGTGATCTCGACCCCAGCTAACTCCATAAATTTAGTAAGCATCCTAATCAGCTTGTAGATATATGGGGCGAGTTGAGTCGGGCACACGCCATAGTAGCGATAGAATCCCCCCGCAAATGGAAGAAGAGGAAGAACGTAGCCGACCTGGAAGGGGTACGCATAGAACGCGCAATATCCGGGGCAGTGGATTTGTACCACATCACGCCCTGCTGGGTCCAAATAGATACGGGCAGGAATGTTGAATTTTTTCCTAAGATCTGCTAGACCGGCCCCTTTTATCGCCGACTAAGAAACCTCAGGTTCGTCTTCAGGTGCCTTCAAAAAATCAGACCTAACTTTCTCGCTACGAGGAACTATTTCCTCCACCATAGGAAATCTTCAATGGCGACATAGACGCCATCAGCGTGAGGAGGCATAAGCACCGCCAAAGGGACAAGGTCAGTTCCCACACCAGAACCAGAGGATACATTAGCCATATTTTTGATGAGAGAAAGGATATTCAGGCAAAGAAGGATTAGAAGCAATATGAAGTACTAAGACGAGGAAAAAAGACAAACAACAAGGGAGGAAGGAGAAGAAGTCACAAGGTTTTGATGAGAAAAACACGTAAAGAACAAATGAATGTCATCACATCTCTATTTATAAGAGTTCAGGCATCAAAACCGAGAGATTATGCCATCATTATCCAGCACTAGAATCGAAATGGCAGCTCCAACTGACAGTCACACGGGAAACAACGCAAAGCATCAGAAAAACACGCCATAATGACGCATGATGTCATGATGTCATTCTAGCGCAGAAACGACGCAACCCCAAAAGTTGCGGCCCACGGAAAGCCACGGTTCCAGCTTATCCCAAACTTAACAACCCAACCCACTCGTCCACTCTTCTCAACCATAACCAACAAAGTTCGCTTATCAAGGTCGTCTGAGGATGACCTCAATATGCTGAGGGACTAACTGTATTAGTCGAAATCTACCACGTAACATTTAAGGCGATGAAGTATTGGGGAAAAATCAGTTGAGGTCGATCAGAAAATGGCGAAGCTCATGGTCGAGATACTTATAATGGTTGAGGATGAAGTCCGCGAAAAGAATCGTAATGGCTAGTTGTTAGAATAAGATAATGGAGGGAATATTCTAAAGAATATTCTCTACACATTTACTATTGGGGTTTACTAATGATATGTCTCTTATAAAGAGGACAAAAGATAAGTAAAAGGGGTATGTAATATTGACCTGATAAGAACAGATTTATGAGAAAGATTCTCTCTCTCTCTAGCAAAGATACAAACATTACCTTTTCATCAATATTCTTGTTCGTATTATTCCATACTTTTCCATCAGATCCGAGAATAATTCGAAAATTCTAGGATTTATCTGTCACTCATCATTGTCAGGAGGAACAATCATCTAGTTCATTCTTTATTGGGTGAACCACTCCTCTTATTTACTTAAATGCCATTTATTGTTAGTTACTCCTCTATTATTTCTCATACTTTTTAGAATATTTAATACATGTTATTGTCAATCTCCCACTAGATCTGTCCCACATTATCCACACTTTCAGGATCCAAATTTAGAGATATTATTATTAACTAGGTTTAACCCATCATTCTATAAATACAATAGTTTTAACCGAAAGTTATACTTTTTGGTCAAACAAATATGTGGTCTTGTATTATTGAAATTTCAATTGTCTTATTATGTGTTCAATAAAGCCTTAAAGGCAACCATAAGTACTTCAATGTAATGCGTTTGAAGCAATAGAAATATAAAATGCAGTCAGACCTCTCTATAATAACATTATTTGTTCCGATATTTTTTGATTTTTATAGTGAATGACCGTTATACGTCTATAACTACATTTGGTGTCTCAATATATTTTGGCTGTTATAGACAAAATTTATCCAATTTTTTTTTCTTTTTTAATACTACATATAAAATATAAAAAAAATATTTAAATTCAAAATCTCAAAGATATGCATATTTCACGAATTAAACGCTAAACAAATCTAATATATTATTAAAAAATTCATTACTAAACCTACAAACATTTAAACTCTAAGGCACACAATTAAATATTTTAAGATTGATGGAAGAACCTCATAATTGTAGCTTGTTTCGTAGATTCTAGTCTTTTACTAGCGGTATATCGCTTGTATCGGCGAAGATTTGCATCCAAACTTTCAGCAAAAGGATATCCAATTGCTTTTTCTTGAAGGCAATCTAAGAGCTTAACAATTGAATCTTCTATCTCAGTCCAGTAGCAGTAGGTTGAGGTTCTTCATCAGCACTTTCATCTGCCTCCACAGTGTCTTCTTCTTCTACTCCAATAACTTGGGCAATAATTTCTTCATCAGTGAAAGCCTCAATGATTGGAAGTGTTGCATCAAATTGCACATATGTGATAGCATCTATCATCTCATTGATGTTATCATATGGGATTTGAGCTATAAGTGATGATACATTCCCAACATCCTCGACTAGTTCAAGGTTTTCACTATCAATATTGGGATTGTCATCTGTAGGTAGGATTCCACTCTTTTTCCAACAATGGAGAATGGTGGAGGCCTTCACATCATTCCTTGCTTCTACTAGAATGTTAATAACTTGTCGGATATTAAATGTATTGTCACTATATAATGGATAGCTCTCATTGCACTCATATTCATCGATCAAATGCTTGATGAAATGACTTTTGTACTTAACTTTAAAATTTACAATTATACCAACATTAGCAGGTTGAAGGTGTGATGTCGTATTAGGTGGGAGATGATGAACCTGAATAATTCAATGTTAGCACAATAGCACCATTAAAAAATATGATCAAGGCTACAACAAATACCTTATTAAGCGTTAATTGACTTTCGTATTTCTCGATGTCACGAGGAGTAGCATTGTCCATCAACAACAGAATCTTGTGATTTTTATCTTCAAATTTAGCATTTAGACTAAGGATATATTTTTTAAAAATTTCACGAGTCATCCATGCTTTCTTGTTATAAAAATAATTGATGTGTGGCAGAGAGGCCATATCTATATTCTTATAACAACGAGGTTTAGCAACAGTTCCAATCACTAGAGATTTTAGTTTCTCTATCCTTGCAATAGAGTACAAGTTAAAAAAATAATTTAATAAAAATTTGGATTTTGTTTTGAGTTTAAATTTAGAAGTTTTAATATAAATCAATCAACTAAGAATCAAGTTAAATATTTCAAAGAAATAAATGAACACCGTCAATACTAGTTTGAAACAATTAAGCATTTAACTTTTAAGAAATTTCAATAAACTAAATCTATTTCTAAAAATATATTTTACTCAGAGCATTGCACATTAACATTGCGGTGATTATGGATTTGTCCTTCTTACTTTCGCTCTCTGGCACTTGAGCAAGAGTCTTGTTGGGAGCCATACAAAAGAAAATGACAGTCTCATCACAGTTGAAGACATCTCTAAGTGCATAATTTTTTATTACTTCTTAAAACTTAATGCAGAAAGTAGGAAGGTCTTGGATAGTCGTGCTTTCAGCCTCACCATGAAAACGGTGAGATTTGATGCCATGTCGTCGTTTGAAACGTAATATTCACCTACTAGAGGCAGAGAAATTTTTTCTCTCCAGTGTATTAATACCTATAGATTCTGCAGAATCAAGAGCTTTGGCGATGCTAATTGCATCTGTCAAGATGACATGATTTTCCCTTGCTTGAGTAAACCAAAACTGTATTGCTTTGTCGATCTGATTAATCTTAATTAATTAGTTTCTCGTTAAACAAAAGTTTAAATAACTTTTTCTTCTATATATACCTCTGGATGCTCACATTCGTGCAATCTCTTGCTTTGTACATGCCTTTGAACAACTTCTGCTTGCTTAGCCGCCTCTATATACTTATTCTTTTTGTTAAGAATGTCGGTGATTGTTTGGTGACTATTAAGTACAAATTTCTCCTTTAGTTGTTCATGAGTGATGGCAGAATTATCTTTTTTGTATTGACACAATGCTACCTTTGTTTTCAAAGGAATAACTTGACGTTTAGACCCCATATAGCATGAAAAAAATCAAAGGAATAGCTTGAAGTTTCTAAACGAATAACATTAGTGAGTTCTTCAAATTTTATTACCTATGCACAAAGAGAAATTCACTCAAATATTTAAACATCCAAAGAGTATCACGTGCAAATCTCTTCAAATAAAAAATTATTGGGTGCATATCTTAAAAAAATATAAATAGATTACGTTTACATATTATTAGCATTGTCCAATGTAAAATATATCATGTATAAATCTTCAAATAAAAAAAAGAATGATGTGCATATTTTCAAAAAGTATAAATAGACCTTTTAAGTATCTTTTGGCATTTTTCTAATGCAAAATATATCATTTGTAGATCTTCAAATAAGAAAATTTATGATGTGCATATCTTCATGGAACGTACTGCTATCCTTAAGATAATATATATTTCTATTATAAGTTATACATTAAAGTTATAAAATATTTGATTAAAATATTTAGAATTATTGATAGTAATAATCTTAAAAAATCTACATAATTGTTGTATATGGGTAATTTTACAAAGAGCACAATGTCATAAAGATGATTGTTGTTGTTATAGAGAGGTAAAATATAACATAAAAAATCGGTTCTGAAAAAAATTAGGCTTTTATAATGAATAGCTGTTATATAGAGATACTGTTATACAAAGGTCTTACTTATATTGTTTTACATATTGGAAGTAGAAAAATAGCATAGATGTGATAAGATTTTCAAGTAATGTATCAACTAGTCATTGAGGTCTATGAGAAACAGCCTCTATAACTCTATCTTCACAAGGTATGGGTAAGGTTACGTACATTATCCTCCTAGACCGTACCTGTGAGATTGCACTGAATTTATTGTTGTTGTTGAAGTATCAACTAGTCATTGGGCTGTATATGTCAACAGACAGCTCAGTGAAATCATGGAATAAACCAAATTATGTCAAAAGACAGTTCAAATATATATAATACCTTTTTAGTAAGGCAAAATGGCCTCCGACCACCCAAACTTACATCAGATTTTAAAGCCGGAATATAAACTTTTGATTTTTTCATTTTAACACGTCAACTTAACTGATTGCTTATAAGTAAGCACATTTTACTTTTGATTATGCTTACGTGGAAATGGTACAGCTGACGTGGTCAAAGTAAGTGCTAATCACGTCGAAAAAGCACGTGGTTCGAATTACTCTATGTAAAAAAAAAAAATTAAATCTGAATAAAAAAAAGAAAAAGTAAATAAAAGACAAAAAATAATAAAAATCCTAAATCCCTCCCGTAACCCCCTTTCTGATCTTCTTCTTTACCTACCCCATTTTCTTTCTCCCCACCTTTTCCCGTTCCTCCACCCCACCTCCTTTCTCTTCATTGAACGACCCCTTGGCTAGTCCTCGTTTCTCCACAAAGTATCATTTTGACGTTGGTGTATCTCATTTTTTCAATGGATGGCAGAGCTATGGTGGTACAGTGATTTTGGTGATCTTCTTTATTGGGACCGCGAAATTGCTTGAAACTTTTAGGATTGAAATTAATAGGTGTTTAAAGAGGTATGTTAGTTTTGATTTTGACGATTATCGCCGAGATGCCATTTTTTCCAAGGGAAACCTTGTCGGAGCGATTCTGAATTTTTTTGATAATGGCATATTGGCATGAATTTGGGTTAGAAGGTGGAGTGTCTGCCTATTTGCATCTTTTGCACAACTTCTCTATGCTTTGATTCCCTTCTATTTCTACTATTTCTTCTTTCTTTTCTTGCTTTTTCCGCCATGCCCCAATTTGTATAATCATTTGGACTTTTACCATTGGATTTTGGAAATGGTGGCCGGTCGGGGCAAGGTTATGGCGGAGATATGACGAAGAAGAAAGGAAAGAGAGGAAACATTAAATAATTGGTAAATTGATTTTTAAAAAAATGGGACCCACAATTACAAATGGCTAACAATAAATGGTCTTAGCATCTGAAGTGGTATTTATTTCAGGCAATTGAGATACACGCTTAGCATCTGAAGTGGTATTTATTTCAGGCAATTGAGATACACGCTCTGAGGGGTTTTTATAATAAGTATGTTTAATGAGTTAAGGTGCTAAAATAAAAAAATCAAAAGTTCATATACCAACTTTAAAATGGGCCATTTTGCCTGTTAGTAATTTGGCATCTTCACAAAAAGGTATTTGACCATGCTTTTAGGAAGAAGAAGAAGCACTTTTTGAGAAGCAGAAAAAAGTAACTACTCCCCAGAAGCAAGCAAAAGCAGTTTTGACTTTTCTTCTTACCAAAAATAATCTTAGCAAAATGTATTATATACCAAAATAATCTTATTCTAAACCTAATAAGTAGGATATTAATGTATAAATATTTCTTAAAAATAATAGCTTTCTAATATATAGTGATTTATGAGGTAAATGCTTTTATATTGCTGAATAATTTTCAAATTGATTAGTCAAACACAAATTGCTTCTCTTCAAAAGTACTTTTTCAAAAAGCACATTTCAAAATAAGCTCATTTTTTCCAGATTGGCCAAACAAACTATTAGTCAACTACAAAGAGGTAAAAATCTGTTTTTTCCAGCTTCAAGGGAAAAGACTTTCATTCAGTTAGCTCAGTATTTATACTATGAATCTTAAAAGTCTCATTCTTTACATAATCAAAGCTGCTGAAGATCCTTCAAAAGAACATGTTCAAACTTCATAGGCAGAGTGATGAGGGAGATTATTTTTTTTTTCTTATTAAACGAAGTGCAATAGCTACACAGCATTGATCAATAGGCTCTACAGATTTCTACCTGGGACCTTGCTACCCAATGCCCACAAAAAATAGAAGAAATTCAGGTTACAAAAATTAGCTTGTGATGGATCATGTGTGAATAAAATGATACTAGAAACCCATTCTGAGACTTTGATCTATCATGTTAACTGCAAAAAGAGAACTAAGCTTTTCCCTGGAGTTATTTTCACACTTGCTACGTAGGTGGAAAGAATCGATTGAGATTGAATGGCAATGTATAGAACTCTTCATTTCGGTTATCACCTCTGAAAGTTCTGAACTTCACCCACCATGGCATACCCCTGTCTTTCTTTGCTTTCTCCACTTCCAATGTGTTGTCAAGAAACACCGCAACTATTAACCCCACCATTGGAGGCGACGTGAATATGGTGTTTACGATTGCATTGAACTGCAAAGCGAAACACCAAAACAGTTTTCAGATCTTAAAACACATTAAAATTATGCTTCCAAAGACAGTATTAATGCAACATATAACGATGACTTGATTCGGACAATAATGTAATCCATCAATAATCCTAACCAGTTGCAACAACAACATATCCAATATATTTCCAATGTGGGGTCTGGGGAGGGTAATGTGTACACAGACCTTACCACTACCTCACGGAGGTAGAGAGGCTGTTTCCGATATACTCTCGGCTCAAGAGAATCCTAACCAGTTACATTTAACTTTTTTAGGTCTATTAACCAGTTACTCTATGCTTTCATCAAGTTAGTCTATTACAAATCATGTATAACACATATGGAGTAACGATAAACATTAAGTTACGACAACTAGACAAGAGTACAAACAGTTTCAAATTACTACTATAACTGAAGTTGCATATAATTCCAACAGTACTTACCCATCCTGCGTTGGTGTTAACAAGACCATGACGAGCTGGATACCAATATTCATTGAAAAATTGTGGTATTGATATCCCAAGGAAAAGTGAAAGACCTGTTATTATGAGATTCCTCATACAATTCAAATTTGTGAATTGAAGAAATGATAATCCAACTGAGCCTGCAAAGGAGAAATCAACCTTACTATCTGGAGAAAGTCATAAACTAATTTGATGTTATCTGAAAATAATCGCATACCTACAAGGCCAAACAGAACACAGTATAGTGCAGCATATATTGGGAAAGGTATTGATGCAAAAACAGCACCAAATTTCCCTGCATAAAACAGAAAAATATAAGTTGGAAAAATAAAGGAATATGTACAGTGATTGGCTGACAGATAGACCATGTGTGCATATGCTAACCAAGCATAGAGAAGAATATCATAAAACCAGCAGAAATCTGAACAACTCTTCGACTTCCAACTCGAGTCAATCCAAGAAGTCCCACATTTTCCCTGAATGAAGCGCCATAATTACGTGTTACCTATATATCATCTGAAAGTACAGAGAACAGAGAGCTACATTGTATTGCCTGAATTCTTACACAGAAACAGTGGAACCAGTGCCTGTTCCGAAAAGCCCATCAAGCAAAATGCCTATTCCCTGCAAAAAGAAAATTAGAACAATAAAATGTTTTAGGAGAAATGAATTTGGTCAAACTAACTCCTACTATAGTATGAAAGGAATGGTAAAGACTAAAGAGAGTCTGTTCGTTACAGTTATGACGTTATCTTTAAGGTGACGAAAATATTAAGAATAAGACAATATCTACAAGTAGTCGTTTTCATTCTCCTCAAACGAGTATTTTCTTTATACACAATAAAGAAAAATTTTGTGTGCTCTATCCAGATATGAGGGGCATCCTGTTTAAATTTGGTAAGAAAACCTCACCTGCCATCCAATGCCACGGCTTAGTACATAGGCAGGAGGTGGAGTGGCAATTGCCAGACGAGAAGCTGCCATATAAGCTCCGGTTGACTGCACACAGTGTTTGAGTCAGAATATAGTCTTTTCCATAAGCCACTAAAAGTGTATCTTCATCAAGCCAAAATAATTACTTAGACAAAAGCCATTGTATAGCAATAATCTTCGTAATTTAATTAAAGAAAGCTTCAAAGAAACACTCAACGGTAGGACAAATTTGGCTAAGTACTGATAGATCATTTCAACAACCAAGTATGGCTCAACCCCAAACCAGCTTGTAAAATAGCCCCGTCAACTGAATCATTTCAGTTCAATTTGCAAAATGAAAGAAGAAAAGAAACAGGACACGCAAGTACCTCAACCATTGACACAAGAACTGCAGACATCATAGCAAAAGAATGCCCTGCTGCAAA